TAGATAGTAGGTGTACTATTTATGGTACATTTTTAATATATATCATTTCATATATATAAACACATTGTATTAATTTTTGTTCAGTTTATAAAATAACATCATAAGTTCACAGTAAAGCTAGAGTTGGATAATTTATTCAGCAAATCTAAATTAATGCCTGTGATCACTTTTTTGTGCCCTTTTTTCCTCTAAATTGTTTTCTTAACAGTTCTGACATCTGTAAATGAATAAAAGGAAGTTTTATTTCAGTAGACTTCAGTGACTATGCAGGGTGTGTAGTTTGCTGAAATTTATTTTAAAAAGAAGTAAGGATGTTTTATGAACAGTCAGTACTTTGTTTCAGTTTGTCCCTGAGAAGGTTTGTGGAGTTTTCACTCCATGTTTGGGTCCCCTGAGATCCAGGCTGATCCAGGAGGTCTCTGGGGGAAGAAGGGCTGGGGTGCTGATTCCCAGTGACACGGCTGGTGTGCGGCAGGCTCTGGGGTACCAGAAGCAGCGTTCACTCCTGGCCATCTCCTGTGTCACGCTCTTGAAGGCAGAAGAAATATAGAAAGAAATATAAAAGAAAAATAGAACCGTGAGGGAGGATGTAAATTGGCAGTGATGCCAGGCTCTGGAGGAAATACTGCGGCGGATGCAGGAAAAAATGTCTAGGGACAGAACTTGCAGCTTTGCTTGGTGCTCTCTTGTCCTTTTGAACTTCTTCAGACACCCAGGGCCCAGACTCCAGGCTGTACGCTGTTGTCATTAATTTGTCAGAGGGGGCTCACCACAGACGTTCTCGTTTGCAGGCTTATTTTTATGTTCAAAGATACAGCGCGTTCCTGAGCTCGTTGGTTACCCTGGCAATGGAGGGGCTTGCCAAAAGAGTGATAAAACATATCTGCCGTCACACTGGAAACCAGTTCCCTTCTTAAATATTCTCCTTGCTATTTTTATAATTTTCACAGAATCACAGAATGCTATGGGGTCGGAAGGGACCTCTGGAGATCATCCAGTCCAACCCCCTGCCAGAGCAGGGTCACCCAGAGCAGGTCCCACAGGAACGTGTCCAGGGGGGGTTTGAATGTCTCCAGAGAAGGAGACTCCACCGCCTCCCTGGGCAGCCTCTTCCAGGGCTCTGCCACCCTCACAAGAAAGTTCCTCCTCATGTTTAGGTGGAACTTCTTATATTCGAGTTTGTGCCCGTTCCCTCTTGTCCTGTCCCTGGGCACCACTGAAAAAAGCCTGGCCCCATCCTCCTGACACCCACCCTTTCAGTATTTATAGGCATTGATCAGATCCCCCTGCAGTCTTCTCTTCTCCAGACTAAACAGACCCAAGTCCCTCAGCCTCTCCTCGTAAGGGAATGCTCTGTTGTGCTCAGCAGCAGTTGCTCCTGACTCTCGTGTGTTTGAAGAGGTCTCTGTGGGACGGAGGAGTCTGGGGCCCAGGTACTTCAATGGTTTCAGAAGCTGGAATCTGCTGTGCAGTTCTTGTTGCTGGAGTTTCAGGCTGCTTCTATCAGGTCTTTCTCCTGCCGCGCTTTCAGAGGGAAACCCTAGGCTGGGTTTTGGTGTTAGACAATCCGTATTGCAACTGTCTAATTCCCATCTGTGTCTCCTCCCTGCGATCACTTCTTGGGAAGATCTGTCTCCTTGGTGCTTCCCTGCTGCAACGTTGGTGACAGGCGATGCCCACGCAGGCTCTGGGGGAGCACAAAGCCAGGAGAGCCGGAGGAAGCCCATGGTGGCTCCTCCTCACTGACTCATCCCTTCGGCTGTGACAGAGCGACCACACCAGAGAGAAAAGACTCTCCAGAAAAGAGTTCACCTATTCCAGATGTTTGCAGAGCTTCCTCTCCTCCCTGAAGCTGTGCTGTAGAGAGACTTTCAGTCAGAAGGTAATGGATGGTCAAACTGTGTTCCTTTTTCTCTCATTTGGCTTCTTGACCATGGCCAGAAAGGCGACCCTCAGGGCTATGTCGGCCTCCTGCCCTCGTGGGAGTAACCATCACAACTGCTGGTGCTTCTAGTACAACATTGTCACGTCCATGAACATGTCTGATCCTTCCTACAGTGCCCTTATGGCTCTTCATCACTGCTGTCCCCACAAGAGAACTTTTCATCCTTCGTGGAGGAAGCCCAGGAGTCCGGTTGAGTATATTCCAAGCAAGAGATGACTGCAAAACTGCTTGAAAGAAATAGGCTACTGCCCTGCAGATGTACCCGTTCCTCCTCCCAGAGGGTCGAGAGGTGTCATTGGATGCACTTCTGGGCTTAACGACTGAGAACGTACTGAAGTACTACAGCTTGTACTGTTTCTCTGAATGTCCCGTGTCCAAAGGACTGACTTACCCACCACGTTTCCTTACTTGGGTTCTTGGTAACAATCACAACAAAACTTGTCTGAAATTCCAGCTGTTACTGTAAGTAATAATAATGTTTCTGACACAAAATACTTTCCATCCATGTCTGCATTAAAGGCATCCTCTGGGGTTTCATTTCTCCCAAAGTCAACAGGGTGCACGGGGCAGAACCAGCCAGAGGAAATCGTTATTATTCACATTATAATTAAGGTTTCCAAAGGGCATATCCACAGAGTCAGGTTGATGAGTTCCCTTTGGGTTTGCACATTTTTGTTTTGTCCCGGTTTCACCGCAGGTCAAACAAGTGGATTCACCTGGAGAAGAAGATGAGTGATAGGAAAGATGAGAGGTTGTGCTCTGAGGTCCACGCTCTCCCAGTATGGACACTGTCTGTGCCACGTTTTGTTCCCTCCACACAAGAGTGTCCTGTGTGACTCTGCCAGCAAATACAGAGCACGTCCTGGAGATGAGTTATAAAAGGATAGAACTAGAAGGTGGTTCTGCAACTGTTCACTTTCCTGCGTTGGCTGCTTGCACAGTAATGATGAGTGGCCAGAAGAAGACCTGATCATTCCCAGGGCTTCTCAGCAGATGTCCTGAGAGATGACCCGTTTGGTTGCTGTCTGCAAAGAAGGCCTGGAACAAAGTTATTGCAAATTTTTAAAGTTTTTGAAATGGCACACAAGAAGCTCAGTTATCACCATGCTGGGAATGGGAGCGTTCCCAGGAGTCTGAAATCCCACACACGCTGTAGGAAACACAGCAGCACCAGAGGTGGAGAAGCAGGTCTACTTAAATCAAGTTTAGCGTACTTTGAGGGAAAAGTTCTAACTGTTTGTTTTATTTTTAGCAAAGTAGAATCTTGACTGACAGTTCTCATGACTGAGCAAGCAGTTCATTACTGTGGCAGATAGACTGGTACACAAAGAAAGAACATTTCCAAGAACAAACTTTCTTTTCTTCATTTTAACACCCAGAGATTCATTTAATAGAGTCAGTCAACCATAAAATGTGATTGTGCAGAAAGGGGTAAATGACACACAAGAATATCCTCCCTTTCCTCTTAGTGGAACCACATGTTGAAGGCAACAGGCAGGATCCCATGGCCAGTGTATAAAAAATGGTGAGAAACAGGCTGTTTGGTGCTCAGTGATCCTACAACCTCAGATCGAATGCTCAGTTAAGATACTAGATAAGAGTAGTGTGATGGATTTGGAGACATAATGATAACTGTATTCACCACCAACAGGATCTTTCTCATGTGCTAATCTAAATGTTCCAAAGCAGTGAGCAAGATGCAGGAAGCTGTCTCCTCTAATCTGGTTCAAGATCATCCCAAGCAAGAACTTTGAAAGATTTGATGCTTTGAAAGAAAATTATCCTGAACCGTATCCAGTCACTTTGCAATGAATCTGAAGCTGCTACACTAGTGCCAGTCATCGACCAAAAGGAAAAGAATGGGACCATTAACGTGATGAAGAGGAATCCAGAAATAAATATACTCATCTTGTGACATAATTTTTCCCTGTACCTCACCCTCATCTATTCTTGGTCTCCAGCAAGCAATCATCTTCAATCATCTTCAGCACCTAGTAACTGTATCTCCATTTCCCTTGGTCACATCCATCTCTGTTCCACATGTGAAGCACAGGTCCCTCTCGTCACGTTGATAAATGAGACAATCCCAGCTAAATTCACGGCTGTTGATTTTAACCTGTACTTGCTTGTGTGACTGCTGCATTTTGGACCTTAGCTCAGTAATGTTTTAGTTGGGTTCAGTCCACTGAGTGATCCTTCTTTGGGTTGGTGTCAGCATGACTGAGGTTGGGGTTGGATATGGAACCCTCAGTAGGCACATTAGACCAGGTAAGAAGTTACATTTCCTTATGCTTATTTCTGTATCAGTGTCCTTCCTCCAATCTTGCACATACTAAAGCAGCATAAAATGTTCGGCAGCGTTGGGCAGTGCTTAGGGCTTATTTTACTGGATATATTTATGGAAGCTCCTTAGTAACATGATTTAGTTAAAACAGCCTTTTTCTTGCATCAATAGCACTAAAAATCAATGTGAGATAGGTTTGTGGGTTCTTGTAAAGCATTTATCGTCTCACTCTTCTTGGAAGAGTCAATTTATTAAGTGTTTCACATTGATGTAAAATACAGGAGTTGAAGTTTCCATTGAGTGAATAACGTCGACTCTGTGTCAGCCACTGCTTGACATAAAGCTGGGAGGGTTTTTGCTGTAGTTTTGTGGTAGCTGTAATACAGTCACTATGCTTACAATAGTATTGAATAGTATTTTTGTATCACAATTTTAGTATACTAACAGTGCATTCTTAATTTGTTGAATTAAGTATTTTAAATATTGACATGTATAGGCCAACTCAGTGATTCAAGATCATCTTCTGTATTTATAATCACAATAAAAATCAGTTCTTTATATGCAGTTGACTTTTGCGGTGATACTTGTGTTTTCCTTGAATGAAAAAGCACAAATTAAAAGGCCTGAAGTTTGCATGAATGAGAGAGGTTTGTCTTTTAAAAGCCTTTTCAAACTCTGCAACATCACAGGACAAAAGCAGTCGCTATTTTCATGAGTTGGAAGTCTTTTGGGAGTAGTCAGTTGAGTGATTTTTGGTCTTTTTCCCCCCAGGTTTTCAATACATATTCCAACGAAGACTATGACAGGAGAAATGATGAAGTTGACCCCGTGGCTGCATCAGCTGAGTATGAGCTGGAGAAGCGCGTGGAAAAGCTGGAGCTCTTCCCGGTTGAGCTAGAGAAAGGTACGGAGTCGGGGTGACATTCCCAGGTCCTGGGGCACTGCTCTACAGCTCTGGGGAAGTCTTGGGTTGCCATGAGTCTGTTGTAGTCACCTTTTTGGATTTCAAGCATTGTTTCCTAAAGAATTAAAGCTCTGGGGAAGTCTTGAGGTTCCATGAGTCTGTTGTAGTCACTTTTTTGGATTTCAAGCATTGTTTGATAAGGAATGAAAGCAGCAGTTCAGAGAGAAGCAGTTCTTTATTTCCCCAAGAGAATTGTTTTGTGTCGCTCCATTAGCACAGGATGTTACGCAGGGTTTGGTGCGATGTTTTCATTCTCCACTGGAAGAGTAAAAATCCTGGTGGTTGTTCTGAGCCCCTCATGAGGGTGAAGGTTATATCTCATAAGGTGGTATTTTTTTTGTGTGAAATTAAAATGGTAGAATGATAAAATTTTTAAAGGCAGCAAAATCATATTAATGTTACTGATGTGAAAAACTGGGAGGAGCCAAAGCATAAATGTTTCAGCTAAAGCATAAATGTTTATCTACCAAATAACTGTATAAACCAAATGAAGAAATTTCTTCTTTCACTTTTTCACAGATGAAGATGGACTTGGCATAAGCATTATTGGGATGGGAGTCGGAGCAGATGCAGGCCTTGAAAAACTGGGAATATTTGTCAAAACAGTAACAGAAGGTGGGGCAGCAGAAAGAGATGGCAGGTAAACTAGACTGAAGTCTTTGGAAATTTTCTCAGGAATAGTTCCTACGAATTACAAGTTTCATAGGAAAGAGTTGTTTGCTTAATGTGCGTCATGATAACTCAAAGCTGTGAAATTCGGAGACTTCCTTGTAAGGTCTGAATACCTGCTGTGGTTACGAGAAGACACCAGGGTGGTGTACTGAGTTTAAGCTATTTAAGGAGAACAGATTTGCTGAAGTTGTGTGTTCATGACTACCTGAGAAGCCAGCTGCTTTAGCCTGACTGAAGCTGGAGGTTCCAAGTGGTTGTATTGCTTTGGAAGGCAGTTGAGATTTTAAAGGTGTTGAGCTCCCACATGTTCTTTCAGCTTCAAACCAGCTTTAAACAATATACATATGAAAAAGAGCTCTGCTCAACATTTGATTAGGAAAATAATTAGTGTATCTGAATGCCTAAACTCCTACTAAATAGATCTCCTTTCAAGTTTACTAACACAGGCTGTTACTTTGCATTTTGTGGTACGCACAGTTTTCTTCTCCAGGGTTCAGTTTTCACCCCTACAGCACTGAAAGTGCACTAATCAACTGGAGTGAGAGGCTGTACCCTAAATCCTGCCCACTAAAGAAATCAATTGGTGTTTGTAGTCTTATGTGATGCTCTTATAACACCTGGTTCCTTCTAGAATTGCTTACTTGGTATGTGCAGGTTACAGAATTCCTTTTGAACACACAATATTTAATAATGAAAACAACAGTTATCTCTGTATTACACAGCACCTGCACAGTCAGACCAGTGTGTCTCATTAAAAGTTAGAAAAAATGCTTTACTATGTAATCATTTAATAATTAAATGTATTCTTAAACATCTTCCAACCCATATAATTTGTATGTAATTTGTTGTTTTGTCCCAGTGCATACGCTTTATAAATTTGCAAGCAAATACAACATTACTTATCTTAAACATTAGTAATTAAGTTTACTTATATGCGTTCTTTACTTCTGCTTTTAAGCATTAGTGATTTGTTATATTCATTATAAATAATACCAAACACAAACACAGGTAAATAGGGAAAGAATTAGAATTCTTCATTAAACTTCTCTGGGAACTCCTGCGGCCGTCTGACTGCACCTCATGTTTGCCAAAGTAAAAAAATAACCCAACTAACTTTTACAGTATCCAAATACAAGAAATATTCATGTGATATGTGATTGGTGTATTTATTAAATGCTTCAGTGTAAACTGAAATAAAATTCTGAGATTAAAATGCCCGATATGATTTCCAAGACAGGAGTTTAAATGGTGTCACAAAGATAACAGAAAGATCATTTTTTCGGGGCTCCTTGTATACAGAAGGGAGACCTGCCCAGAACACAGTGACATTCTGCGGTGTGAGGCTGCCAAAGAATAAAACTTGTATTTCTTACTCATCAGTGGAGCCCAGAGAACTGAAGATGCTGCTTGAACACGTGTCGAACTGCAAAGCGTTGCCTCAGACTTGGCAGAGGCATCAGTACTCAGAGTCAGAATCCTCCAGCCTTCTTTTGAAGCCTCTGTTGTTCTTTGAAAAGAAGTCTTAGCACTAGGATATCCTATGATGTTAAATACCTTATTTTTAGGTATTTTCATATCATTTAAATAGGATTTTTTTCATAGCAGTTTCTTGGCGCCTTTGTGAACTGTATCATTTGGGTCGGTAGCATCCATGAAGGTACTTGTGAAAATTGCTCCCTTTGACTAGTTCTGTGTGTGTTTAGGTTTTTTAAAAAAATTTGAAACTATAGGAGTTTGTGCATTTCTAGGGGACCTTTAGGGTAGTAATTCTCCTTCCAAGTGTTCGTAACCCAGATGAGCCCAGCACCTGCTCCAGGGATTTCATAGCAGTGCTGGCTTCAGATAAAAGCAGCGTGTTTTATGTTCCCCCTGACATTTCCTGCATCAACAGGGTATCGGCTGTAAATAGATGTTTGGGTTCAAAGAGAGAGTCCTCATTAGAACAGTCCGAGGCCTTATTGTTGTGTGCAGCAGGACAAAGATGACACTTAACACTGGGAATTTATCTTTTTGGAGCGAGTTAGATGAAATATTTTAGGAGAGTAGGTCACGACTCAGGCTGGTGCACAGGCTCATTTCTCCGCACATGACCAGGTTGTTTTAGTTAAATGTTGCATTTTTTCCCCATTAGCCTGAAATACCAGAGCTATGTCTTATGCTGTTTTTCAGGCCTGGCTTAGGAAAGAATGATATAAGAACTGTTCAAGTACTGTGCTTAATTTAAGTCATGTGACAAATTGACGAGTTTGTGTTCCTGTATTTATATACAAGGGAGGTTGCTGGATGATCGATGCTACTAATTGTGATGTTAGCTTTGAGGCTGGATTTATGGGATGTCTGTGTGCAGGGAGTGATGCCTTTGCATATTTACCTCAGTCATTTTATGACCGGGTTTTTATTTAAAGTCTTTGTTTAATATCAAACCAAAAAGATCTCTCTGTGTGCTAAGTTTTGCTGAAAATTCACTGCGAATTCACACAATGATTTATATATTTGTGCTTTTTCCCCTGAAAGGATCCAAGTGAATGACCAGATTGTGGAAGTCGATGGCATCAGTCTGGTTGGCGTTACGCAAAATTTTGCTGCCACTGTTCTTAGAAACACCAAAGGGAAAGTCAGGTGAGTACTTCAGCAGGAAAATAAAAACTGAATACTTCAGATGCCCTGGCGTATTGCACAGGAGTGTCAGTGTGCCCGGGTGGAAGCAGAGCTCATTGGCCTCTCACTGTCCTGTCTGCTTTTATCCTGAGACAGGGATGAGCTGTGGTATCACAGATATTTGTTTTGGCTTAACTTTTTAAAACATCACGACTGAAACAAGCTGAAATTGCCTTTACTGGCCTAGATCTCCATGGGCCTCAAACTGTTTCTTGTGGCTGGAACGACACGGGCTGGGGGTGTTGGTCAGATGTACTTGAAAATGTAACATGTAGCACAAGTAAAATTCTAAACTAATGTAGATACAAAGCTGTAAAATGTTCATAAATTAACAAGAATAGCATTTCCCTAGAAATGAACTGTTTTGCCATTTAAAAACCTGTGCAGTCACATAGCTTTTCTAAGTTTCTAAGCTTTTTTAAGTTCAGCAGAGGTTTAACTCTGCCAAATAAATCCAGAAATATCTTTGGCATATAGCAAAGCAGCAGCCACTCTGAGGCCACCCTTCGGTTCTCTGAGTCCTCTCCAGTGAGTACAGCTCAATTCCTTAATTAATGAGTTTGGGGCTGGCTTCTTTAGAACTGTGTCTAAGCTATGGGTGATAGTACATGGTGTCCCCCTCTGGCAGTGGCGTTACATCCTGGCCTCCTCATTTCCACAGGAATTCTGTGCCTTGTCATTCACAATGTTAGGGGTAATGTTGGGATGCAGATTATGCAGAGAATCTTGGGAGTGATTGAACTAAGTTTTATTTGAAAGAGGTTATTTATGAAAAAATTATTAGAAATTGTCATGTAATTACAGGTGAGTATATTTTTGTATAACGTTTACAGTTTTAGCTACATCAGTCTCATATCTGCAAAGACTCACACATGCTGAGAGTGTTCCTGCTGAGCTGACTATAAAAATGAGTATGTACTTTATTAGGTTTTCTGCAGAGTTCGGACCTTTGAACATAAAATCCTTATGACAGAGAATAATGTCTATGGGGGTTTCAATCCACAAAACAAATGCTAGGTATGTTTTATGTTTCATGGTTTAGGTAAAAAAAAAAAAGAGAAAGAAAAATGGAAGCACTCACATAAAACATATGTATTATATGCATTTATAATCGGCTTAGCTTGTGTAATTAGTGTTGCGTAAGTTATGGAATTGAGTACTTGCTTCCATGGAGAAACAATGGGTTTGGAGAAAGGAAGAAACGTGAAATGATTTGCACACAGAGCGCTCCCAGAATCTTCTCTCGGGCAGTGAATTACAGCTGGACTGGTTGCAATCTGCACCCTTTTGTCATAAAATAGAGGGCTGCTAGAAGTATTTCTTCACTGCTGTTGAGCTCCCGTTGCCAGGTGCAGTGTGTATCCTGGGGACAGGGATGGTTGGCTCCGCACAGGTCTCATGTCTCAAGGAGAGATGTGTGAGTGTGAGAGATGTGCAGTTCAGATGCTGAGCTTTCACAAGAAAAATGACCCAGTGCATTAGTGTCACAACTAGATTTTAAAAGTCATAAAAACATTAAATTAGAAATTAAATGTTTTATTTAATAATATTATCATATATTAAAATTTCATCATAATATGAATTTTAATATATGATAATATTATTCTATTAAATGGATATATCATTGTCTACATGCACACTGCCATGCTGTGCGGTCAGCAGCCTCTCACCAGCGTATATGTCTAATTAGAAGAAAGGAAAGGATAGAATTTGGTGTCACTCCTCCTATTTTTGCTTCCTTTAAAACTTCATGGAGGAAAAAGCTCGGGCAGACCCACAGCATCACAGAGACACAGTTGCTTTGTCCTTCACCGAGTCAAAGCACACTCTGGTTTTTGCAGAAGCGTTTATGATGTGAGATCAGTTACAAAGAAAGGACTTTCATGAGCAGAGTGACATTAAAGCTACTTCTTAATTCTTTGCCGTAAATGCAGGCAACACCTCTTCAGGGAGCTTGCGTAATACCAATACTTAGGGATTTATTTTTCTCCTTTGAGCTTCCTGAGCACTTTGAATGATCCCGACAGTGGAAGTCGTTGACCTAGAATAGATTTTTTGCAGTGTTTCTGCCAGAAAAATGTATCCAGGCTGTCTGTAGCTGCCACAGTAAGGAATCTGGGAAAATGAAGACGTGGCCTTTACCTTTTGAACTGTTCTAGGTGAGGGTGAGGGAGGGAGAAGGATGAGTAAATATAAGCATCTATGGTTATTTTATCCATTGTCTGAAGTACTAGGCTATTCAGAAGAGTTGTCATACCATAATGGAAAATCATTGACCCAACTGATGTGGCTTCTCCAATGATAATAGATTCAATTATCCTTTCTTGCAATGTTTTGTATGAAGACAGTCGGCACCCCCAAGCTGTGCTCTGGTAGCCTATGAGAGAAGGGGAGGAGGGGGAATTCTTCCCTAATCCCAGATGGCAATCAGCTTCTGCTTTCAGGGATGAGAATTAATGTCCTCGTGACTCTAATCTGGCAAATACAACTAGGAATGCTGTTTCAATTGATGTAAATATCCAGTCTTCTTTATAAATTTGCTTAACAATTTAGTTTACTAATATCTGATATTTGTGGATTTCATCATGTGGTTACATACCGGAGGGATTTGCTGTTGAAACAGGTGTTGGTTTTTCAGTTTTGCTGAGTGTCACCCCTGCTCTGAGATTAATGGACCAGTCTGAAGGCAGCACCAGACTAATATCACTAATTGTTCTGTGCTTCTGACTGCATTCAGGGTGTAATCCATCAGACTGAGGTTTGCCTGTGGTGCCTACAGTCATGAAAGGGAGGATGAGGAGGCAGCTTGAGAGCAGGAATCCTGTCCTGTCGCGGATCTTCTCCCAGGTCATCCTGCCCCAGAGCCTGTGGTCTCACAAACCCTGGTGCTGAGCAGCAGACCTGAAGTTCTTGGAGGTTGCTTGGGTGGTGTTGAGGGAGGGGGGTGACCCCACTCTTTCCCCTTGTTCTTCATCATCAAGAAAGGGTTCAGGGGATCCTAATGTCTTCACCAGAGAGCTCACTGGAAGAGTTGTATACCTCCAGGAAATTCTATTCTTTTCTTTTACAGAGTAGATTTTATCCTTCTACCGTACTCACCTGGTCTCTGTCTAACTGGGGACAAATACGGGGCTTTCAGTGGGGGCTGCTCTGCTCACAGGGTTGGTGCCCAGGTAGCTCTGGGGGGCGCAGGGTCCCAGGGACGGAGGAGGATTTATGGCGTGATGAGTACAAGGGGTCTTGGACTGGAAAATCCCAGTCCTTCAGTCGCTGCTTGTGTGCTTTTGCCAGCACGGCTTTAACCAAACCCAGCGTTTTACTGGAGAGGTGAATTTTGAATTCCGTGTCCTCCTCCTGTACCCGCCGTGTGAATGTGACAAAGCATTTTCTGGGCTTCCCCAGCCATTGCCAGGCCAGTGCTTTCTGTGCCACTTCTGGAGTTTTCAGGGAACCACCTCGAACCTGTGCAAAAACCTGTTCGATTTCTCATCATTTGCACCACCTTGAAAGTAACTGTATTAATTCTAATCTATCAGGGAGTTTACCAGGTTTTGTTTCATTAAATTTGGCTGAAATGCCTCAAAACCTTTCCATCTCAGTAAAGAATCTAAATAATTGGTTAGCAAATTTTACCATGTTTAATTAATCTTCAAGATCATTGAAGTGTAACTCTCAGACCCTGGGGCTTTCCACTACTAATTGTTCTCTGTTCTAAGAAAGAATAATTTATTAGCATTTTGTGTTTCTTCTTACCTGGACAGTTTTAATTCAAAGCAGAGTTTTGTCTCAACTCCCACTCTCAGCCTGATTGCTTTCTCTCTGGCTGTACTGCAGATGCAATCTTTCAGACAAAAATGAGGTTTTCACTTTTTTTTTCTTAAGATAGCTCTATACAAGAAGCAGTTTAAGGGTAAGAAGTGAAAATAATCGCTTCTTAATTAACACCAACTTGATGTGTCATTTATTCCTTCTTCAGCTCATTCCTCACCCCTCCTGGTGAGGGTGGACCACCTTTTCTGTCGGATTTCCAGAGCTGAATGAAGTTGTCCTTTTTTTCCGGCTGGGGGTGAAGGTTTTGCTCTTCCTTTCCTTGTCTGTTTCTTATTCCTTGAATCCAAGTGCCAGATCCAAAGAGAAAAACAGAAGGGGAAAGAAACGTCTGGATTCCCAGGCTGGGGCTTGGTGAAGGGCTCTGTGAGAAGCCATGTGTGCTTGGTGCATGTTCTGCTTCTTTGATACACCTGGGTTGGATCACAGACTCACAGAAACTAAACACGTGGTCTCTCATACCAAAATAGCCTGAATTTCTCCTGTTTGTTCCACTGTGGTTAAACTAAAGATGATAGAGCTGGTTTCTTCTTTCTGGTCTCTGCAAAGAAGTCCCACGAGCGCTGGTAGTCACTCTGTAAGGCTACCAGGAGCAGCAAGGAGCAAAGAAGTCCCACGAGCACTGGTAGTCACTCTGTAAGGCTACCAGGAGCAGCAAGGAGAACTTAATGTTCCAGAGTGTTTCTGTGATTTAATAGTGTAGATGAGCAATTCCTAGAGCTTGGGAGCATTCCCTGGTACTGTTAATTTACTGGAATAAACATAACCCCTGTGTCCTGAGATCTTGCTAATTTGAATTCTATGGCAAGTTATTTCTTTAAATATTTGCACATTTGGACAGGAAATTATATGTTGGGAGTGCAAGAAATCTTTATTTAAAAGATTTTTGGCTAATGGCTTTAAAGATTACTGTGCGTACGCTTGTCCCTGGTGCTGGGGAGGGCTGGAGGATTTACAGAGGTGAGACAGCAGGCACTGTTTTAGCAAGCTTTTAGATGAGGTTTGTTGGGGAAACAGACAGGGCTGCTCTTCAGAGGTCCTCAGTAGCCTCGTGTTACACCGGGGAGCAGGGGCATGGGAAGCATCCTGGGAAGAGGTGGAAAGAGCCTCTTCAGCCTGAAGAGAAGGAGAAT